ATACCGGCGCGCAATCCTTTCCATACGGGTGCGCAAACCTTTCCATACCGGTGCGCAATCCTTTCCATACCGGTGCGCAAACTTTTCCATACCGGCGCGCAACCCTTTCCATACTGGCGCGGAAACATTTCTATACCGGCGAGCAAACCTTTACATACCGGCGCGCAAACCTTTTTATACCGACGCGCAAACCTTTACATGCCGGCGCGCAACAATTTCCATACCGGCGCGCAACAATTCCCATACCGGCGCGCAATCCTTTCCATACCAGCGCGCAAACATTTCCATACCGCCGCAAACCTTTTTATACCGTCGCGCAAACCTTTACATACCGGCGCGCAATCATTTCCATACCGCCGCAAACCTTTTTATATCGGCGCGCAACCCTTTCCATACCGGCGCGCAAACCTGTTCATATCGGCACGCAACCATTTCTATACCGGCGAGCAACCATCTCTACACCGGCGTGCAAGCCTTAAATATCGGTGTCAAAGCGATCTGTGACACCGGGCGAAATCGCTAGCGATTTTGTTCCTCTAGGGCCCGAGATCACTAGTGATTTGGTCCCCGGAATATCGTATAGTCATAGGTACCGCTCGTGCTTGCACCCGGCTAGGCACCTACTAGTAGGCTGTGTACGACTGTACAGCTTGTGTCGGGTCACAAGCAAGACATATGTATGAATTAAGATCTAACAAGAGATCGACGATGACTATTATCAATATCTTCGTCTTGTATGCGTTTGGGTTCTTAAAGATGTGCTGCTGTATATAGTTTGACTTTTTTTTTTGCTGGTATGTGAACCAACGGATGTGTTTGATACATAAGTCGGAGTACGGTTACACGTGTGCGGACATTTTCCTACATAGTTACGATGCTTGACGTCATTATCGTCACTTCTGGTGTATCCTTTCGGGTTGGTGTATCCATTTCATGTTGGTGGTTTAATTGTCGTGCATGCTACTGGAAAGAGTCGCAGTCCTTAGGACAGGACATTATGCCCCCATTGGGAACATATGTCCCGAAACAGAGGTCAACAACCATATAAACATTTGTTCACAGAATTTATGCGTCCCTGTGTCAGACTTCCCCAAGTCGTGGTCGAGTGATGAAATACACCCTATAGCAAACATGGCGTAATTTCCATGGGCTCAACGCCAGTCCGGTCTTGCACTCCAATCAGCAGAAGCTAGACATCTGCTTGGAGATAAACCTCATTCAACACCACCGTCGTACCTTGGCATGCAGCTCTCCGTACATCCCCATGTCTGCGCGGCGGCATGGAAACGGTTTGGCGCCGGCATTGAAAGGGTTTTATTAGCACCAATGTATCGAATTATCCCAGTCGGCTACGCCACGAAACAATCATGATACACAATAAAACAATGAAGATTCCTTTCCTTTCTGCTATAGGAAAGTTTCCCTTAATTGAAGACGTAACTCTTGAGGGTCCTCACATATCGGACGGTGATAAGAACGGTCACTTCCACTTCGACTGTGTCGTACGTCTCAAACCTGGATATAATGGTGGGAGGAATGACGCGACCTTCACGTTCACCTGGCTTGTTGACACACACTACGATGGGCAGGATGAAGTGCTCAAGAACAGCACCTGTGATGACCATAGCTGCCATCAAAGGGTCTACAGTGATGAGCTAAGGGGACATTTTGACAAATCAGTAGGTTTTCATATTTCTACTTGCATTGCGAGAATATTTTACACAGGTTGTTTGATTTATTTATTTTTATTTTTTAAGTGTACTCGACTCCAATTTAATCGGTTGAGTAGGCGGGCTGACACAAAACTAGGAGATCACGGGTTCAATTAATTTCATTCTTGGTTGAACGTTGCGTCGTTGGAAAAGGTACTTACAATTAATGTTGAAATACGATTTCTATATCTAAACAAACATAAGATTGGTATATGCACCTGGCTTCGGTTGAATAGTGGAGTTAAAATGCAATTGTAGGAAAGGCGTTCCAATACCGTGTCCTAAACAAAGTTTACTTACAAAGATTGTACGAGACTACATTTTTCTTCACATCTTATGAACCATCATCATGCATTTTTCATGTATTTTTCAGTTGCGATGTGAGGTTCGATCCCAGTGGAAAGGCGAACAAATCCAAAGCCCGATCATGCGTTCATTGCACTACTTTATCGGTATTCAGGTGAGCGATTTCATCTAATAGATGGGCGATAATAAGTATAACAAGACTGGCAATGAAAACGTACATTGCCATGGCGACGGTGGTTGCTGTTAGGGTTATTGTTTGCATGGCACTGTCATCATTTCGTGATTTTGAGGAAGACTTGGTACCTATTAAGTCTAGACAGATACAGTCCACTCATACATTTACCGAACGAGCCCCGGGGTCACAGAAAGTAGGCCCCATCCGGGGCAGAGAGGACTTCCCAAGAGTTTTCAGGAATGTGGGCATAGATGTGGATAAGAGACATGCCTGTGGACATCCCATTCCTTGACAAAATGCCTGTACCATTCCTTGACTTGTTGCAAACAGCACACAATACTGTACCATTTATAGGCTCCTCACTGAGACTTCACCAAAAATGTGCCAAAGTCAATGATGGCACTCACCGCTATCAACAATAAGGTCTTTTTTTTAGATAATCAACAGTTGCTCTCGTCCTGAAATACACAAGTCACAAGTTTAAAAAGTCCTTTTCTTAAAAGCAGTATTTTCTCATTAACTAAGCAGTTTTTAATTGGAAGGTATGTTTTAGGTATTCTTTTATATCAAAATAGCAGGAGGAATTGAAATCGGATGAGATGAAGGAAAACACGACGAAGAATATATGATTCATCCTTACAGTATGGGGAGTAAATTTACATATTGGATGAACTACCTTGAAACACCTGCACGTCCCAGCTGAAATATTGACGATATAGAAACCGTCATGTTTTTCAGAATTTTTTTTTTTAGGTTTGGGATTGCAATCCGATGGAAATCTTTCACAGATTGGTAGGAAGGGGGTAGAGGTCACATTAGTCAAACTGAAACTTTGGCAAATTTGCTGTAATTGAATGCACCGAAAATGCATTAATCCACATGGGATGTATAATTGTTTCAGTTGGAAGTGGATGGTGAAGCTGTTGGTTCAGGCCATGAGATACAGCTTCCTGAGGACAACCTTGAGGTCAAAACGGTTATCATATCGTCTACCGTCCCGATCCTTTGTGAAGGCAGCGGCACATGCCAGTTGCCAATAGAGATCGAAACAGAGGGTAGGTAATTACGTTTACCTATATTCAACTTTAACTCTAACCTTTTCATCATCGTTCTCAATAAGGTCCATACCCTATACATATAAAATAGAGAGGAAGAAAAAAGAAGGAGACAGAAAGAGAGGGTTTATGCAGCACCTATTTAAAAAATATCCTTACAAAAGTTCCATTATCTATCGCCATCATCATCATTACACCATATTAACTTTGCTCTACATCTACTTCGCATTCGACGACATTTTGGTAAACATTATGGCGTTATTGATTTCATCTACAAAGTGTAATATTATGACATATGTACAGTATGATACCATTTGTGGTCTTTAAGATATTAGTAGCACGATAATAATTTGAATGGTACTAACAAAATCTACTAAAACATCATATAACATTAGCCAAACGTAATTTTTTTAATGCAATTATTTAGATCCTGACGCATCTGCAGCTCTGGCGTACCTTCGGCCTAAACCGAATCTATGCGAAGTGCTGATTAAGCGGGAACATTGGTCTACAGAGACTAAGAGGGCAGTTACGTCGTTCAAACTATTGGCGGTTCGAGACATGGAAGTGGATGGAGACAAAAGTTTCCTTTTAAAGTTCGATAAGTTTGAAGTCATGACAAAACCAAATTTTGGATACTGGATGGACTACCAAATCCCACCATTGACTGTAAGTGCATAAAGTGCTTAAAGCCTGATTGACCTCATATTGGTTACACCTGTTTCTACTAGCTGAAAATATCTCATGCGTTTAATCTTTTAACATTACATTTCAGTCATGTATAGCTTTTACTCTTGTTCCTTTTTTTCTGTTATTTTATTAAACGTTTTCATTTTTGGGACAAATGGTCTAGAATTTGGTATGGAGGTTCAGTGGGCAGGTATTTTTTAATTGTATTAATAAACCCCTTTAATTTTGTAATGTTGAATTTAAGGCTGATTTATATAGTAGTGCATATTATAGTAGTGTGGATTTGGTTATGTTGATATGCCAATTTTTGGTAAGGAGACCAATATTCATTTGGTAATTTACAGGTGTTACTCTTCTTGCTGATTAGGTTTGAATGGGATTATCTGACTCATAACACCTTCACCTGGTGCCACATTGGCCGCGATTCTCACTAGGATAAGATTATCTTGATCAAGCCGAGTGGATTAGCTTCGATATTGTTCGAAGCCGGATCAGGCAAAACAATTCTGTTCGATCTGGACAATTTTATCCTAGTAGGGAAAGGGTCTATGATGCTATACCGTACCGTATCATGTCGTATCGTGATCTGGCTTGTGTTCCCTCTCAAGCTGGTCCAATCTGGATAATCTCAAGTTTTACAAAAGCCACTGTGACCCTCATTAATGGTTAGGGATTAAACATGGCGACTCTTTATTGTCTTTATCTATTGGTGTACTGGAAGTAGAGAGTGCATTGAGCTACACTGAAACGGCAATATGAAAAGGCAAACGTAAATTGGTTGAGAAATCTCCACATGTACTGTCCTTCTGTTGACCACGTGAACACGGTAGTATGATGTCACCAAGTCTAGTAACCAAGCCGGTTTGATACGGAGAGCATTCCCACACAGAAGACTTGCCAACTGGATCCAGCCGCTGCTCGACCGGTATTCGATCCACCTCCGGGATCAAGTTTCTGTGTAGGAACGCTCACCGAGCATTGTTCTCTACGATTATTGGGGTGCTCTGAAAAATTTTGCACTGTAATTGTTATGTGTTTAAATTACTGCAATCATATGCGTACATGGGAACACATGTAAGTCCATTATAGTCTTCTTAAAAAGTTTTAAAGGGGTGATTAGATAAAGACTTCGTTTTCTAACATTTTTTTTCTAAATTCAATCTTAGACACGTGTGATATACAAAAATGTACAAATGGAAGTCTTAGACTAAACTGGGGAAGGGGCAATCTTTTGTGGTTGGGTTAAATTGCGATGGGTTTTTTCAGCCTTTGGTGACTTGGCAATAAATAACTTATTAATGGGCAGAAGTTATTTTTGAAATGTTTTACATTTTGCACATGTTTTACATCAAAACAACCCTTTTTATAAGAAGAAAGATGGGCTAAGATATGCTTCATTTGTTTCCTATAAAATTTTAGCCTTTCTAGTTTTTATTTCCTTTCCGCCATACTCTCCTTTGGTTTGGTTGTGGATTATGTAGAAAGTTTCAATGATGTACATGGGCAAACACTTGTTGGACAGGATTTAATAATTATAAAGAAAGCTGGTGCCAGTATACACAATAGAAAAGAAAGTATGAATATCTCTACAACGCCAAAAGGGACCACATTCGATCATATGCTTTTTAGTGGTTTAAAATACCGTATTGTGTAGAGCGTCCTTATCATGTGTTACTGTTGTCTTTAGATTCGAACGATAGACAAGAGTACAGGGTTTTGTGTAGCCTCTGGCGATCCCCACTATCAAGGATTCGACCGAAAAAGGTAAGTAAAAAGTGAGGTTGTCTTGCATTGAATGAGATGTCAACTGCTTCTTTGTACCAGGAGACTTACTACGCCTAGTTTTTGCACATGTTTGCTAATTGTAAGCATTATTTAAAGCTATCATTTGTACCTTGTGGTAGTGACCTATCTACGATAGTTCTAGGAATTATCAAGGCAAAGTGAAACAGAAATATGGAAACAGATATAGAAAATACAACACTAACCTGGATATGATACCCTTGTCATTGCTGTTGTTCTTGTGTCCACCCAGCACCTACCACCGGTATGATGTCGGTACCTACATTATGACCACCATGACGGAAAGGGAATTTGAAGTAAGGGCTCGTGTCACAATAATCATATCAAAATGACCTCTGGAATATTAGTATGTTTGTTCTAAACGGGGTTTATTGGTTTTTCTTCCTTCACTCCTTAAATTCCCCTGAAGCAAAGAAAAATAAATACAAATAGCATAACATGGACTAAAGGCACAAAAAGGACGTTTTGCGCAGCCGCCAGGATACAAAATATCGCCTTTTGTCTTCATTTTCCAAGAAACTACAAATAAATACATCATATATCTTTACAAACCCTCAGATCTTATGCTGATCAAAGATACCCAAAAACAAACATTACATACACACGAAAAACACTTCTATTTTCAAGTATGTTGAAAAATAGCAAAATTCCTGACATATTTATAAGGTAAGAAATGTTTTTCTTGAAAAAAAATTATCCATTTCAGAACCACAATGTTATATTTTCGATAGAATGGCATTAAAGGAGTGCTAATATCATTAATTCATGCCAATTTTATATTGAATTTCATTTTCGTTGTGTTTTTTTAGGTACAGACACGGCTCTGGCCCTGTGGTAACGGACAAGTAACTTGCAATTGTGGAGTGGCCGTGCGAGAAGACAATGACATTATCATAATCGACCTTTGCCATGGCAACCATGGCCATACGCTGGATTATATCAGCTTGAAAGACCCACCAGAAGACATAGCGGATGGGACACAGGTAACGATGACCGACGGATCCAGTGCGACGGACTATGTTGTAAGTATTGCGTCAATATATTGCTATGTTGAGGTGACATTATATTAATATCAGGTTGAGTTGACCCCAAAGGACATGACCCTACTAGAAGTCGTGTGGTGGCACCTGGACCACGGTTTAGGCTCTGTTCATATGAAGTCAGTGAAGGCGCTTTACATGCGGTTTCCCCCGAAGCTGATTTCAAGTGACCCCATCTGAACGCTCAAAATTACTTTGAAAGCGCCTCGATCCTAAACCACCTCTAGAGGTGGTTTCGAATCGGTTTTTCCGCATCGCGATTTGCGTCTAAACACAATGTAATTTCAATGTAACTTCACCTGGTCATGGATTACAGGGTGATATTTCTTTATTTATATGCAATATCAAATTTTACGTGGCAGCAACTTAAAGAGCAGTAATGGTCGAATAATGTGTCCGTTCTAGGGCGAGCTTCCCCGCCTCTGGCGGGACCACGTCGGCATTCGGCCGAGATACGCTGGGAGGGGGGCATCAGCAAGCAGGTCGTTGACCTGTGACATTATTAACACGCTACCTTGCGTGTTTTCATCAAATAACAATGAATGCATCCGTAAACGACTGAATAGCTAAAGGCCCGGTCACACTGGGCGGACTTTGCTGGAGCGTTCCTTGAACGGTGAATAAAATTCATCACCGCTCGAAACCGCTCACCACCGCTAAACAGAAGTTGGCCCCCGTTAAAGCAACGCCGTGTACGCCCGGCCACCGCTAATGTTTCAGGAGGGGCCCTCCTACCGCTCCGAAAGTTTTGAGCTGCACAAAATATTGCGAGTGGTGAGGAGGGGGCAATTTTCCGCCCCGGCAAAGTTCACCCCCGCTCCACCAACGCCCAGTCAAAGTTTGGCATCGCTAGACGCAAGTTCGTGGACGCTTGGGTCCGCTAGGCCAACTCAGAAATCTTGAACGCTTGACCACCGCTGCTTCGCCAGCGTTGCCCGGGCGGCGATTAAACGTTGCACAAACGTTGCACAAACTTTGCTGGAGCGGTTGCAAGCGTTTTACGAGCGGACACGGGGTTGCTGGAACGGTGTCGGGCGTTGAAGCAGCGATCCATATCGGCAATGAACTTTGGTTTGGCGTTGGTATAGAGGTGTCGGAGCGGGACCAGAATTTGGCTATAAATAAAAATGGACCAGGTGCTCATTTGGAATGGAGCTGCCTCATCTATATCGAATTTGTTGAAAGTTACAGTAAAACTGTATCACCATGGATGCTGAAAGACTTGCTATGATTGGCGCACTAGTGTGCAATTATTTTGGGGCCACACGTAAAATGTTCAAAGGGCAATCACTTTATTGGGGTCACAGGGGAACTTTGCAATCTGCAAAGTTTTTTTTTCATCATTGAGTAAATAACGTAGTCAAGAATAGATGAACAAAATGATGTTTATTAAAGCTAAAAGTCCCCACACACACAGAACAGAACTTGCACTACTACAAAACGATCCGTAGTCGACACACATCACAAGCGGTATGGTGCTAAACCGCATGCGCAGAACGCCGCTATACCAACGCTCGCGTCACCGCTAAACCAACGCTCGCTACCGCTAAACCAACGCTAAAGCAACGCCGGATTCAGCGGTGCACCGCTAAGCCAACGGCCGTGTTTTAATTTTTTCCCCCACATTTTGGGCGCGGTGACGAGCGTTGTCGAAATTCGGACCCCGTCCCTACCCTTAAAGGAACGCTCCAGCAAAGTTCGCCCAGTGTGACCGGGCCTTAAGTTCTTTTTATCACAACCGTTTATTTTTCATTATCCGACGTTTCGATGACCGTCTGTCATCTTCATCAGGGCAATTCTGATTTGTTTACTGTGCACTGACACTAGATGCACCAAGTAACATCTAGTGTCAGTGCACAGTAAACCAGTCAGAATTGCCCTGATGAAGATTACAGACGGTCATCGAAACTTTGGCTAGTGAAAAAGATAGTTCTGATAAAAAGAACTTTGCTATTCAACAATGAATGCAGTTTAGAGGAATCGTGATCGGGCACGGTTTTAAAGGAATGTATGGCACGTGGACCAAATGTGAGGAATGAGTTACCCAAATTGCGGTTCGGGTGGATTCATATGAACAAGGCCTTAGAATGTTTCAAAACGTGACCAATCACGCTGTCAATCACGAATGATTGACAGGAGTGGTGATTAATTATTCAAACTGAAGTCCGTTTTCGAATATTCCAAAACATGTTTCCGACAAAGTCACAAAATGGAATATTCCAAAACGTGCTCCAGACATGTGGGCTCGGAAAAGGGTTTCGACAACAACAGTTTGTGTGGAGCTGTTGCTGCTTTGTATAAACATGAAGAACTTTTAGAGCGTGACAGAGCTGGTCGCCGCAGTTGCGTGTGAACCTACAATGTTTCAGCCGTGCAGTGCCGATCCTATATGCGGGTGTCCAAGTTTACTTGACAGGCGTGCCGTGATTAACGCTGAGGAGGTTTAGAAGGTCAAAATTTACATAGGCAGACAGCATGGGGAATGCTTATACAAAATGTATACCTGATATCTAAAAACTACAAATTTGAAACTGAGGGAAAAAAATGTTTGTTAATATTTCGATAAGTGACAGGTATTCTAAAACACTCGTGGAACATTTTGACGCTCCCATTTCTTTATTAAACTTGACACGTCTCAGACTGTAGCTATAATGGACGTTAAGCGTTACAAAACTTGTCCAGGCACGTATCATTCAGCCACGCCCTCAGAAGTACGATACGTCATGATTTGGAATGGATCATGTTTTGGAATGCGACTTCGTGTAAAAACCAAATCATGTTTGGAAATAGAGCGCGTTTTTTGAATGCAGGTGTATCCCACTTTGTTTTATTCCAAATCATTATTTTGAATGCAACAACCGGAACAAACAAGAACTTACCCGACGATGAAAGAAGCAAGAACCCAAAAAAGGAGCCAGACGGGAGGTATTCGACCATTTCCTTAGCACATGCCCCGTACTTACGTGACGTAGACAAAGAGTACATGCGGTAGGGTGGTCGTTATCGTAACCACGTGCAAGTCGACGAATTTCCTCAAGCCGCAGAGGCTAAAGGAGACAGTATTCATGCCTCATCACGTCTTCCGTCGAGTCCACGCATACACAGTGCCTTCTTCAATAGCGTCTCCCTAAGGGGATTCCTATAGGTAAGAACCCCGAGGTGACTCACTTCGACGCGGTAGAATAATAGTACAGTGCACTAGAGAACCACGGCCAAGTAATATTTTAAAGTATACGGTATATTGCACAAAATAAGTGAAAACCAAACGAAAAGTTATGGTTTTTAAACATCATGACGACCACTTTGATTTGGCCCTCTGCCGGGGTCAACGGAACTGCGGCCGGCTCACCCTGGAACGAGGTTGCGTAATGCCGCGTATTTAAACACGAACAGGGAAATCTTCACAATCCAAATCATACGGTGTACAAGCCGTTACCTTTATAAACCACACAGCGCAGTTTACTCATGGCTACCTCTCACATAAGTGAGTAGCCTTTCTATATCCGCCTCATAGACGGGGGTCGCACATTAACACTGTGTTCTGCGGCTTTTCCGCTATTGTGTTTCTTGAAATGTCCTGAATAAAGCTCCCGTCTCCAGATCGCATGTTGTTGTCTTGAGTCGTAGCATATTTAGCAACATTCTTTCACTCTTAAACATATCTCTAAGCCATTACACGTGTTTATATAGTACTGCACTATAAGCAGTAATTGCATTTCAGTTATACCATGTGTATGGCTGAAATATTGCTTTTTGAATTCTCATTCTCCAGCTTCTAAATCTCTTCCGCTTTAAGCTTTCAACATTTTTCTTTGTTTGACTAGTGAGAACAGTCATTTTTTTAATATTGGTGTCAGGTTGAGAAGGCTCCAACTTGGATGACTTTGCAAAAATTTGCTTTCTGCAGAAGTTACATGTTTTAGAATGTTCTAGTTTTGCACATGTGTGAGTTTGAAACAGTTCATATTGTGGGCAGGGTTGTGACTGAAATATATTGTATTTGCTACCGAGAAAATATAGGCCTTTCTATTTTATATAATTGCTTTCCGAAGTGTTTCTTTTTCTGATGATCCTTTTCTTGTTATGTTAGGCAAATGGATTCTACCATTTTAAGACATCCATATACCAAATTGGGTATGACATGCAAATGCCTCCAATGCCAACAAGTAAAATCTGAGATTTTATACCCCCGGGCTTTCTATTTTATATTTCTATATAGGGTTTTAAACAAAGAATTTGTCGAGACCGGACACCCCTCTGTGTGAGGGGTCATATACGTGGACCAGACCGAGAATAGCTTAAACACGCCAAAGGTCAACGGTCGCGACCACTTTCACGCTCAAAGGGGTGTTTTGGGGCCACCAAAAGGCACCATTTTCACGCCCGAAAACACATATACAACTAGAGTTCCACGATCTCATACCTTCGCCAAATGAAGTTAGCCTTTATGAATAAGAAATTATATATTAATCCCCCTGATTATGCAAATAGGATCCTCAATTGCATGAATTATATCTGTTGATCATATTCTACACCAAAAGACAGTCTTATCTTAACAAAGAATGCCATCATAGCATTTCCTCATAAATTATGCAAATGTGGTCCTTATTTGAGTAAGTTATGTTTAATTATGTTCACCTTCACTTAACTTTCAAACACCCCAAGTATGAAATTCCAGTTACCACCATGCAATTATAACATTTTCTCATTAATTATGCAAATTAAGTCTTCATTTGCATAATCGATATCTGCCTGTGTTTCTCTCGTTCTTAATAACATATGTTACAAGCTTGGACTTCCAATAATGGAATGCAGCTGATTTAGAGAATTTCCTCATTAATTATGCAAATTACATTCATATTTGCATAATTGTAATGTCATTATGTCAAGCATCACTTAAGCTACCTACATACCAAAATTGACGATGATCCATCAATCGGTTATTGAGTTATCCTCTTTTAAACATTTGTCCTTTAAACCCCCCTGCAGTTCTAGAGCAAGCAACTAGGGGGCTCAAACTCATGTCACTTTATCCCCTGCGCAAGAGCTATCTACCATTTAAATTTGGTTACCCTAGCTTGTCTGTATCATTAGATATCAAAACCGGAAGTTCTGCTGCAGTAACATGACAAGCCGCCAGGGGGCCCAAAATCTAATCATTTTGAGGTCTCATCAAGACCTACCCAACTACTAAATATCAAGTCAGTCCATTTAAGCCTTCTCAAGTTATCGTGTTTACAGACACACACACACACACATACACGAACGCCTCTGAAAACATAACCTTCTTGGCGAAGGTAATAAAAACAAAAGAACGTGCATCTACAGCCCGATAGCAAACCATATACCGAATCTCAAAAGAATCCGTCCACCCAAACGCGAGAAACAGCTGCGAACATGACAATCTAAATCTCTCACAAAACCCTTCCGCGGAAGGATGTCTCCTCCCCGGAGGTAATTATTAACGCAGTCCCAAATGACTTGCGTACTGTATTGTACTGAATCAGCTGTGTATGTCTCTTTTTTTCGTAGATGTATTTCCCATCTGGATCAATAGTAACAGTCAATGTGTACACAAGGCACATGAACATCAGAATCGAAGTACCTGGTGATGATTACCGCCATTCCTATGGGATATGTGGGAACTTTGACGGCGATGAGACAAACGACTTTGAGAAACCCGACGGCACCTTTCATACAGGCAGTGATAACTACCCAGACCCATTCTTCGAGTCTTGGAGGTACGAGTCAGTTAGTCAGATAGCCACGCTATGAAGCCATGCTTTTAGACTCAATTGATAATAAGTTAACTTGAGAAGACAAAAAAAAACTACATGAAACGTAGTATTCCATACAATGATAATTCAAAATTATGATATATGTATTTGTGTATACTATATTACTGCATTTTGAATCGGAGCTTGCTGGCTCCGAAAAGTCTAGTCATAGAGTCCTAGATCATGACTCATTTAGAAAAATAGAATTATTTATTAAACAATTTATCTTAATGATTTTTTAGAATTAATCGTAACTATACCATGCAAATTCTAGAATTCAATCTTATCCACAACAATTTACTTGTGCCTGCTGTAGGATAAATCCCGGAGAATCTTTCTGGGAAAGACGCCCTGCACCAGTTCATACTGACACATCGATTTACTGTGACTGTCGGAATACATCGCATGTGTCTAATCGTTCTGATGACTATGGAGAGGTTCATTGCGGTGGAGGCAAACGTGCTAAAAAGAGGGGCTTTGGAACACTTCCAGGAGAGTCCATCATAGATAGACTCAATAATCGAATGAGAAGAATGAGGGACACAGGCTACCATGACGAGGATGATCATGATACTAACTATAATTTTGACTTCCCCAATTTCGTGGCAGTAATCCCAGATTGGCCTTCAGCAAGTGCCCAGCAGTTCGCAGAGAACTACTGCAAGCAAGCATTGCAGAACTCCAGTATGTCAGCGTTTTGTGCTGAACAAGGAAACGTGGATATCTTCAGTACCCTCACACAATGCGTGGAAGACATCAAGGTACGTAATTGTGGCCAAATTTAAGATAAGAATGTAATTCAGTTGTTAAAGAAGACCATTGCGAGGGACGATTCGAACTAAGACAAATTTAATAAAAACAAATTAAAGCATGGTAACTGCATTAATATTGATTATCATTATACTATTTGTCTGCGTAAATGTGAGTCACCAAATCAGTTTTGATACATTTTAATAACAGCATACAACAACTTTCTATGCTACCGGTATACCATTATCCAAAGAGCAGCATATTTGACATTACCACTGTGCACCTTTTTGGAGATCCTGAAAAATTTTAGGAATCAATGGTCTTGATATTTAACAGCTGTACAACTGCTACATTTTGTTTTGCTGTCGATCGGTATCTGGATCAACGCAACGGGAGCATATCAGGCAAATAATGCATTTCCTTCATGCAGTGAACAAATACTTTTGTTTTACAGCTGACTGGTGACCTGGATTGGGCATCTTCTGCCTTGAACAACATGGAACAGCAGTGCAGTAGCGCCGTCTTGGCAAATGTCAGCATGTTTGAAGAGAACGAGAACGGGACATTGACTCCGCCGCAAGCCTTTGTTCAAAAGTTGTGTCTAAACCAATGCAGTTTCAAAGGCACTTGCGCTGATGGCGAATGCATCTGTAACGATGGCTGGATCGGCAAAGATTGTGGAGTCGTTGCTGATACTGCGCCCGTGGTGTGGGATCTCAAGAGAGGCGGTCTTTGCGACATTCGCCAGAGGCCGTGTGAAAAGGTCAACGTTTTCGGCAAAAACCTACTCAAGTCTGAGAACTTGACATGTCGAGTAGCTGAAGCCTCGGTACGAACACTAGTTTAGATTAATGATTCGTAGTAGTATATTAACCTTTATTTTTTTAAAACTTTGTTATTGACAAAACCATGTGTCTGACGCATAAATGCCCGGCACATTAATGAAAAGTACTCTTTACATCTGGGAAATATACTAAGACACGGTGATATAAGTTTAAAGGTAAAAACAAAGTGTAAATTTTAATATAATTTTGCCTTTATAAATGTTTGCTAAGAAATCAATGTCGAACACGATATAGAAAATTGATATTAGGTGTTAAACATCTTATAAGTACTCTGACTTAGTTTCTCTGTTCACCGTAGTTTCAAAATGGCCAATGGACGAAAAGCGGAATAAGCTACCAGACATCTGCTTCCTTCGAAAGCTTCACAGAAATTGCCTGCTACCTACCACCACCCAAGGTTCAACCAAACAGGTACCACTTACCCGGTGACGGCACTCCATCTTATGGGCTGTATATCTCTATTAGCAACGAGGGTGTGTACTTCAGCGACGAACTCTTGCTGATCATCTATGATTCGGTTTGCCAGAACTGTGTAGAGGATGGCGCTTGCTCTTTGAAGGTTAGTTATTATTTTCTGGTAGGGAAGTATTGTTTTGGTGCATGGGATTAAATTACTGTTTGTGCCGATGGAGTAGGTACGTGGTTTGGAGATATAGAGATCAAAAGTCTGTCAAACACTCAGAATGTAGTGAAATTGGGAACACGTTGATATCACGTGGGTGGTTGAAGATTGGCAGATAGAATGACTAAGTGGCAGCAACAGAAGATCGGGTGAAATTAAGGGACACGAAAAAAACGCCAAAACATTAACGCATACCGAAAATGCCATTACATATGGTTCTCGTATATCAAGGTTAAAATATTACACTCAAAGATTGCTAATACTAGTGTCGTTTTGATTTCCTGGAGATTTCTACAGTAGCACGGTCCTCTTAGAAATATACTGACAAAAAGGAAAATATCGATTAAAAATTATTCTAATGCATCATTGGAAACATGTGACGAATATGTGATGCCATATTCTGTATATATCAAATGACATAATCAAATTTCCCCTAATTTCCACTTAAATCGTTATTTTAGCCGTTTTTTTTCATGTTAATTTAATGGCTGTTTATCAATCGGGTCAAAATGAACATTCCAAGTAACTGTAAACAATTGTAGTTGCTGGACGGCGTTAGAAAAGGTTACCTCAAATATAATGGCCCATTATATTTTTTACAGGATGGGTCTTGCCTTATTAGAGGCTACTGCTTTGAAGACCAAGACTCTAACCCAGACGATTGGTGTCAACAGTGCTTGGCAAGTACAAATACATCCGAATGGAGTAGAAGGGAAGGTGAGGTTATAATATAGACGTCAAATTACAGTTAACCTTGATTTAGAAAGATATGTCAATATGCGCGCGCGCGTGTGTGTGTGTGTGTGTAGGTGTGTGTATGTGTGTGTGTGTGTGTGTGTGTGTGTGTGTGTGTGTGTGTGTGTGTGTGTGTGTGTGTATGTGTGTGTGTGTGTGTTTGTGTGTGTGTATGTGTGTGTGTGTATGTGTGTGTGTTTGTTTGTGTGTGTGTTTTATCACACAGGTCTTCCGAATTTTCCATAGAATAATACAAACGAGTTTCGCGCGCTCCGAATGGAACACCGAATTCGAATGTTAGAATTGTCACCGTTACACTTTTTGTTTAGATAAATGAAATTTTGCACATTTCGCATTTTAAATGTGTCAAATGTGTCTGTTTTCTCGGGTAGGTATGATATAATAATATACAACACGGTGTATTCTGCATCACCCTGGCTCGATCCCAGCCCTCGGGTGATACGGAATGCACCGTGTAGTATTCTATATACATCCTACCCGGGCCATGATAACCTTCATTAACGGTGTTCTGTTGGGCCGTACTTTACAGTACTGCCCGGGCTTCCATAGAAAAAAAAGTTGAACGCGTTTCGATCCGCGTGAGCTGTTTTCGAAAATTTGAATACCCGATTCGGACATTAAAATTTGTTTTGTTGCATTCTTATATTTACAACACCAACTCTCTTTTCGCATTGAAAAGTGTGTTTCTTTTTCTATAACATAGATAGAATACAACACGGTGTTATTCGCATCACCAACGGTTCCAGCCCTTCAGCGGGTCGGATCTCCCTTCCGCCTTTTGGCGATCCGACCCGCGGTCGGGCCAGAACCTCAGGCGATATGGAATACCCCGTATTGTATTTCGTACTTGTTTGTATGCGTAAGCAGAATCTGGTGTGTTACGCTAATGTGTGGCAATACCGCCTGTGCAAAGGCAGATTTCTTTTCAATCACTCGTCTTTAAACAACCTATACTATCCGCCAAAAAACTCTTCCTCAAGCAACTCGATATAATTTTGGAACGTTGCTTGAGTAACTGTGTTTTGGCGTATGTCATTACCTGGATGTCTAACCTTCACCGATGTAACCTATACTTTATTTTTTCCATGCAGTGAATCAGCCTCCGTCAATCCTTTCATCAGGCAACATCACTAAGGTGCAATCTGACTCCTTTACCGTAATGATTGCCGGACATGACCCTGAGGGTCGTCCAATGTCATTCTCGGCCAGCCAAAACCTTCCCCATGGTCTATCGCTCAGCCCAGACGGTTTCCTAACCTGGATCTCACATGGTCCAGATACCTTTGCCATGGATATCATCCTTACAGACCAATGTGGCGCCCAAGACGTGCAAGCGTTTACCTTCTCAACCATCCCATGCCCGTGCAACAATAACGGAGTGTGTGTGCCTTCTCCCGGCATGCCTATAGGGGAGGGGCACTACGACTGTCTGTGCCAGCCTGGCTTCACGGGACCACGTTGTGACATAAACACGAATGAGTGTCAGTCCTCTCCTTGTCAAAACAACGCCACATGCATAGATCTGGTAAACTCGTTCATCTGCACCTGTCCCGTTGGTTTTATCGGGGAATATTGTGCCACTCTCGATGAATGTGCTTTGAACCCATGTTTCCCTGGAGTCCAGTGTCAAAGTACCACCTCTGGTCAAGCTTGTGGGGACTGCCCTCCTGGTTATCATGGAGATGGCATGACATGCACACGTAAGTGTTATCCATTATATGCTTATTAGTATTATTTTATAGGCTACTGATTATCGTTTTGAATGATTGAGTGTTGGGTGGTGAGTTCAACTGTCCAATGTTCCTTGAAATTCCGAAAAACCCGAATAGTCAATAGTTTAAAATTCTCGTTTTCTTGTTGTCTTTGCAGAATTGCCATCATCCTGCAACAATAAATACCACCAAATGAAGAACAGTGGGGAGTTAGCAACGGATGGCATCTACATTATCGATGTCGATGGACAGGCTACACCGGTGTACTGTGACATGTCCCGTGACGGTGGGGGCTGGACCCTGATCGTGACGAGCAAGTCGATGGCAGGCTGGGATAAAGGAAACATCCTGTCATATAATGAAGGATCACCTACAACAGACGCAGACTACTCAATTCTTGGGAAAGCTGACCGAATCAAAGTGTCAGGCGCATCCACGAATGTAGTCCAGGTATAACTATTAAGTGAAAAATGGATATTGAAATTTCAAAAATGTCTTTTTTTATTCAGGCCCTACATGTACATGTACAAACGATTTCAATTAATTAAAAAAAGAATATATACATTGCATATTTTATGCTGCATTTTCAAATATTTGTATATTAAACGCTGTGTTTGTTGTTGATTTGAAAAACAGTACCGACTTGAGGCCGAGGCCCCAGGGCGCTGGGGTGGGGTGTGGGAAGTTCCTCTTGACTATTCCTTCACCCACAAGAGGAACAACCAGACAGACGTGATCCTCGTCTCAAAGTTTGATACCTGGGAGTACGGACCGCGGAGTATCGGGCAGAGGATGCCGTGGATCGTGGAGGACCCCGGCCTTCCAGCCGTGTTGACAACCGCTGAGATGCCTAACCAAGATTGGTACGGCACTGTTGTGGGTAGTGATCTTGGTCTTCCAATTTTCCAAGACTTTAAGGCACCGTGGATTCGGGACTTGGCGGAGCTCCCTAACGGCATCTGGTACTGGCTTAGAGAGATTGGTAAGTGTACACAACAACCATTCTATTAAATTTTAATGCCTTTTTATGCTTATGATTTTACACGTTAACGCTAGGTCACGTAACTTTAAGGAGCTTTCTTCTTGGCGCGTTATACGAAGTTTCAGACTTGGAAGTCTGAAACTTCGTATAATAGTGATTCCTGAAGGGAGTGCTATATTTCCTCTAATTGTTTCTATAATTACATGAAGTTCTACATAAGTGGACAACACACATTTGAAATTAATGAAGATGACTAATTAAGGCCACAGCAAGTACATTTTATGGATGACATCCTCCGCAGAATTATCATTGCGGGCTTATAAGACACCATGATAATACAATGTAACATCAACAAAAGTAATATTTACTCACTTGTTTATATTTAGAGCGTTATCGACTGCACGTCTGCGACCACCACGTGGACGTACTTTCCTGCAGTGATGGGACGGTCATCGATGTTGTGACTGCTATGTATGGAAGGACAAATCCCATCATCTGTGACAACGGCCAGCTTCGTAAGTCAACAAACATACATGTACAGATCCCTCAATTAATACAATCGAAATTGCAAAGTCAGGAATAAGGTCAGGAAAAGAGTTAATGCCCCACCTTGAGGTGTATATGGTGAGATAATCTCTGGTCATAAGGGATAACCACCTGATAAATCACCAAGTGAGCGGAGCGAACGAGGTGGTTTATGAAGTGGTTATCGCACCTGATGACCAGGGATTATATTATTTCACCATAAACATCGAGGATATATAAGGCAGGGCATTGGCGTTATTATCATATAGCCTATCCAACTCACACAGATATTTGACACAAATACCTATATTTATAAAATTCGCCCATTGCCAAAATAAACTCTCACAAGTCACATTCTCGAAAGTCACAAAAAAATGTTACATGAAAGAAGATGGCGTGGACAGTAAAAAAGATCATCTAGGACTAGGTAATCATCTGTGCTAACCATGTGTCATTGGAACAGTGACACTTTTAGTGGGGGTGCCAAAAATTACTGGTATGTTTACACTATCTAGACTGGGCTTTTTGGGGAGCTTCGGGACTGGGGTGGGTGGGTGCGTGGCTCATTCGCCCCCTCCTCAGAACTCGAGAACGGCATATCGTATGAAGACTAAATTTTGAGAGTATGGTCTACTAGTAATAATCAATGATATTAACAATTTTGATATCATGATGTCTATTATGGTGTCATTATGTCGTCATCCATGTAATTTATTGCCTAAATTTCTTAAAACCTAATGGAATACAACACAAGTTTAACAAAAGGTGTTTAAGGGAAAATATTAAGGTCTACTAAATCGTATGTTGCCCATAGCAACACCAGTGAGATCAGAAAATGACGTCATGCATATTGAAACTGTCCGCTGACTTGGATCGTCAATATTGAATTTTCGAAAATCCTTTTTAAGATGAAGCCTAAAAATACAATGAAAATAGAATAAATAGGTTCAAAGATACCTTTTCTGTAAAAAAAAAGCAAAGTTGGGATAAACTTTTAAGGAAAATAGCCGGAATGTACCTGATCTAATGATATGGCCCATCATTTTGGATTTTAGCCAATGGCGTCATCAGATAAGAATAAATTATGCATAATTTTTGATAAAAATTACATGACATCATATATTTTTTTATATCAGAAAGCATGTGTAAATTTACATAAAAGCCTGAAAATTTCATTGTTTAAGTCAAAAATACTGTCAGAAACCCGTTATGCTTTCTGATTGGTCGACGTTTTCTGGCTATATGATAATGACAATTGAATATTTACCTTCGCCAAGAAGGTTATGTTTTCAGGGGCGTTCGTGTATGTGTGTGTGTGTGTGTGTGTGTGTGTGTGTGTGTGTGTGTCAACACGATAACTTGAGAAGGTCTTGATGGATTGTCTTGATACTTGGTAGGTGGGTAGGTCTTGATGAGACCTCAAAATGATTAGATTTTGGGCCACCTGGCGGCTTGTCATGGTACTGCAGCAGAACTTCCGGTTTTGATATCTCATGATCCAGACATGCTAGGGTGACGAAATTTAGATGGTAGATAGCTCTTGTGGTGGGGATAAAGTGACATGAGTTTGAGCCCCCTAGTTGCTTGCTCTAGAACTGCAGGGGGGTTTATTGGACAAATGTTTAAAGGGGGATAACTCAAGAACCGATTGATGGATCATCGTGATTTTTGGTAGGTAGGTAGCTTGAGTGATGCTTGACATAATGATATTACAATTATGCAAATATGGAAGTAATTTGCATAATTAATGAGGAAATTCTATTTATCAGCTGCATTCCATAATAGGACGTTCAAGCTTGTGACAAATGTTATTAAGAATGAAACACAGGCAGATATCGATTATGCAAATGAAGACTTAATTTGCATAATTAATGACAAAATATTATAATTGCATAGTAGTAACTGCCTGGAATTTCATACTTCTACAACTTATTCAAATAAGGACCTCATTTGCATAATTTATGAGAAAATTTCATCACGGCGTTCTTTGTTAAGATAAGACTGTCTTTTGGTGGAGAATATGATCAACAGATATAATTCATGCAATTGAGGATCCTATTTGCATAATTAGGCCACACCAATTTATTTTGTTGGTTCTAGGATTTTTTCAGAAAAAATATGAAGCGACAGGGCGAAAAAAAATAAGAATAAAAACAGGTCTAGTCATCCTATTATAGGCTTAAATGGTACGAAATGAGCCATGAAGTCAACACAAAAGGCTGGGTTAAAATTTAAACATTGAATTTTGAACTTTTAATCAAACCACTGCAATGATAGATGGGAAAACTGTAACAACTAGGAAGAAAAGGACTATCCTCAACTGTTGAGGGCAAAAAATGAGCATTTTTCAGTTGATTCAGGACCAGAATCAATTTTTTTTTCAAATCAGAAAAAAACGAAGAGGCGAATCCGAGAACCAACAAATTAAATTGGTGTGGCCTTAGGGGGATTAATATATAATTTCTTAATCATAAAAGCTAACATCATTTGGCGAAGGTATGAGATCGTGGAACTCTATTCTATGATGCATTTGGAATGTAAATGTAACCTTATCATGCTGATAATTTTACCACCATCATGTCAGGGAAGTTTGTGGGTTGAACACATGTCAACATCTAAATCCTACAGTGGTGGCGGACTGTGAGGCCACTGGATCTCTACAGATCGTGAAATCTGGTTGTGACGGCCGCACCACCTGCCTCGTACGCGCCGAGGATAGCATCTTCGGAGATCCGTGTCCAGGAGTTCACAAATACCTTGAAATCACTTACAACTGTGTCGCTCCAGGTACTTCAGGTAAGAATTACTGCTGAAAGAAATATCATATAATATCTATCTATCTAGTGAAATGTCGCAATCTGCGTGCGTTGATGAGATTAATTTGGATTGAGATTATTTTTACCAATGTATGTTCGAAGTATTTAAGAATACCATGATACACCTTTTTCGCCATTAGAACATGTTTTACTATGACAAAGCCTAAATTCTAAATGTTTTAGCTTTACTTTTAAACCAGCGTGTACAGAACTAATTAGAGAGAAAACAAACACCATGCGCCCAAATACATGCAAACATTGTTGACTTACCCACACACTTTCTTTCTCTAGGCTCACTCCATGGCCCTGAGGGGTAGAGGCAGATTTGGGGAAAATAACAATCTACACCAAGAACAGAAGTGCCTCGTAATACTCACTGTGTTTGTAGATGACTGAGCTTACCCAGTCAAAAAACTATGATTTCACTTGTAATTTATCCTAGGTCTTGGAGCAAGTTCTATGTAAATTGAGCCCATGACTTGCATTGCGCCAAGCTTTAACTGGAGACAATTAACTCTAAGATGTTGCACGCCTTTTAAGATGCCATTTGAATAGATGAAGTAGTAGTGATCTTTTACCTTTATAATTTAATGTTTACTTATATTTATCTATAGTATAACAAATCCTTGCTTTAAAAAGAGCTGGGAGCACTTTATCCATCGTATGACTTATTTAGAATTAAAAAAAACAAATAGGATACTATGAACATGTTTACTTTGTCTATATCATAACTTTTCCATGAAATTAGACGATTTCTCAGTCGAGAGATGTTTTTAAGTAATGTAACATAATGTTTTAAAGCAATGTAATGTAAAGGTCAATATTTTTTTCCGCTGCTCTTTGAAGAGTTGCCATGTACATTGTGGGACTTGCGATTGGATAATATATATGCGATTGCCTTTGGGCCTAGTGAATCTGTTTAACGACTTCATCGACTTGTACTTTTAATGTACATTAGTTAAGCTGCAAGTCGTTTGCTTTATCAGTACAAGAAAAAGTAAAATGTTATTAATTTTAATACCGTCAAACAAGATGCGAAAAATTCTGTCTGATATTGTGTGTCTTCTATTTAAACAAAGAAAAATGATGATATCAAAATAACGTGTTTTTATCCAAGACCAATAAATGAACTCGTCAATTAGTTGGGTGTCGTGGTTTTCATATATATAAATATATGTCTATGTTATATATATTAGGCTACTCTCAACAAAAATAATACGTAAAAGATTCTGATCTGCATAGTCTAGTTATATATTGATTTTGTCTACATAGCATTTGGCATCATCACCATTTATTTATAAGTGTACATTTTCTTACAAACTAGGAATTTGCTCGTCACTACAATTTTAGCTAATACCATGTTTTGATCCCATGTGATTTTCTCATTTTCAGTATTCTTAACCTAACACCTAATAACTACATACGTCTATTCCGATTTTTGCAAGGTTATCCTAATATCAAAAGCCATTTAATACAGTAGTTGTAATAATTGTTGCTTGGGGCAAGAGAAAACTACTAACATGGATACCACCTTCAACATACATACATACATCGTAACTACGATACACAATACACACGATTAAAATGCACTTATACACTGGAGATTAACCCTACCTAGACCGGGCTTTTTTTGACATGGGGGGACCGGGGGGGGCTCTTTTGACCCCCCCCTAACGAACTCGCGAACGGTATGTCGTATGACCACCAAATTTTCAGAGAATGGTGTACTAGTGAAAATTTATCATATCTACAATTTTTATGTCGTTATGACGTAATATGACGTCATTATGACGTCATTAATGTGATTTTATTGGCCAAAACCGTCTAAATAGGTTTTTCCCTGAAAACCTCCCTGGTATACAACATAACTTTACCAAAAGTGTTTATGACAGAATATTAGTGTGTACTAAGTCTTATGTTGCCCATAGCAACACCGGTGACGTCATAAAATGACGTCATGCATATTTAAGATATCCGCCATCTTGGATCATCAATCTTGAATTTTCAAAAATAGTTTTTTTTCATGATAAAGCCTAAAATACATTGTAAACATACTAAACACCTTCATTCAAACCTTTTTTGTAAAAAGAAATGGAAGTATTGATGAAATTTTAATGAAAATAACCCGTATATACCTGTTCTAATGATATGGTCCGCCATCTTGGATTTTGGCCAATGACGTCATCAAATTAGCATAAATTATGCATATTTAATGATAAAATTTACATAAAATTATATGGGATGTTATTAATATTAGAAACCATGAGTAACTTGACATAAAACCCATAAAATTCTATTGTTGAAACAAAAAGTACTAAATTTAGCAAAAAATGCCTGTCAGAAACCCGTTGCCATGGCAACACAAAAAATTATTATCTTATTCCAATGATAGAGAATTGTTGCCAACAATATTTTAGGAAAAGTCACCAAGTTTGGTCGTTCTACGGCTAGCCGTTCAGACGCTAGGTGACATCAAAGTTGCCGCGGGCACTTTTAGCCCCCCCCCCGGTCTAGGTAGGGTTAAAAGTAACACTCCCTAGGTACGAGGACTAGGTCAGAAGGTCTGATCCTCACCAAAGAACTGATCGACCTATTCGCTCTTAATATTGATGTGTTCGTAAAGGTAGTTTAAGCCAAGTTGATTTGATTATACGGATGAGATCCTCTGGGAACCCCAAAACTGATGTGAACGTGCGAATAAAAAAGTTTGGCAAAAAAGTTGTTTCCATTATGAAATCTACGTCAATGAAGGTTCAAGAAATAGCCGTGTATGGTATGGCGTATAATCTAGTCTTCAAATTCATTTCTTTACATTTTCGTCTTTTTCTTTTCAGTTTGGTATTCTACGACATTGGTATCTTAAAATTTCTTAAATATTTTTTGCAACTTAGGGTATGTTGCGCCATAAAGCAGTTACTCAAGCAACTGGATATGATTTTGAAAACGTCAGACGTTTCAGCTAGTATCCACTAGCTTTCGTCAGTGACTGAGAGACCAGAGGGGAAAACAGGTTTATAAGCACAACCTATTGATTGATATGCAAATAAAGTGAAGACAAATTTTTGGAAGTCGAAAAAGGAACAAAAGTCAGACAAGTCAACGTGGTCCCGCCAGAGGCGGTGAAGCTCGTCCTAGAACGGACACATTATTTCACCATTACTGCTCTTTGAGTTGCTGCCACGTAACAGTTGGTATTGCATATAAATAAAGAAATATCACCCCGTAACCTATGACCAGTCGAAGTTACATTGAAATCACATTGCGTTCAGACGCAAATCGCGATGCGGGGAAGCCGATTCGAAACCACCTCTAGAAGTGGTTTGGGATCGAGGCGCTTTCAATGTGATTTCGAAGCGTTCAGATGGAGCCACTTGAAACCGGCTTCGGGGTAAACCACATGTAAACCGCCTTGGGTGATTCCGTTTAAACATGGCCTTAGTAGTCCAAAGGAGCTCGCAGGCGAAATTAGTCACATATTTTGTAATGTTATCTTAGATTTTGCGTCACCAAATACGTATGTACACAACCCGCTACTAAGATACTGCCTGTAATTTAGCGGACAAGTTGTGTTCTCATGTCTTCATTTAATTTATAACCTTAATCTTGGAATGTTTGCATACATCCAGGTCAATGCAGCACCCCTGTAAACATGTTTGCAACACAGATAGAACATTTGATACAGTTATCCAGTGCGGCAATATACAGCACATATATTACTATCCGCGTCCAAGAGAGCAAACATGCAGTAAGTGTAATCTTGATCAGGGGGATCACGCAGGTGTTCAGCCAACGTCTAACAACCTGCCCTGCATCAAGTACAGTACATTATTGTAAAAGCAGCTAATACGAGGGGCCCCGATCTTTGGGCGGCAGTCAAAGCTGAAGACAGAGGGAGATGGCTGTCTTTGTTCTCTTGTTGCTGGCTATCCAGATTGTTCTTGGACCAGGTATGTAACTTGATTTTGGCTTGAGCTAATTAGCACCATACACGTGTTTGGTATATGAATATCATGACAATGTATGTATTTTGGTTTACTTTTAATTAACTGTACACTGTTTTGTAAAATTTTTGTAAAGTGGCACGCAGTTGTGTTTCACCAGCACCATTTGCGGTGAAGAAAGCAAGGATTAGGTTAGGGTTTTAAAATCCTAAGGTTGTGTGTTTACATCCCATCGGGCCCTAGTATTATGCCTTTGTATCTTCCTCGCCCGAATCAGGCAGAAACGAGTACCTAGCTTCGGTTAGAGACGTCCTCTATTGACGTTTCTAGATGTATACGACATTTACGTCAGTATTATCCATAGGAATGGATGTTCTATATGCACTCACTCCCAGTATCATTAGTATTTACTTTTAATTGCAAGTGAAGTCAAGGAAAGGTGAGTTCACGATAACATTACACTGCTATTATTTATACTTTAGGCCTCACCGACCTAATTTTGTGGATGACATCCTCTGGAGACCCCCAAACTAGTGCGCGCCGGCGAATGAAAAAAAAAATTCAAAAAAAAATTCAAAAAAAAAAAAAAAAGCTACGAAACCACAGGAATCAATCGATACAAGGGAGTACAAGGTGGTATTGTGAATTTGCGGCAGTACGACGTATATGACAAGCCGGCACATGCTGAATCTATAAATCGCGGAATTTATATATCGGCCGGCACTGTACGTATGTACTAAGTTCTTGAGTCGTGGAGCTTCAGTAGCCTGGGTGCCCGGCTCCGTATTGTCGCTTATTATCATGAACTACCCAGGCTAGAGCCTCGGTAGACGTGATCTTTTTTTTTTAAAAGGCGAAAATCAAGGCTCGCGTGGATGCCATCCAAAATTAAGTCAGTGTGGCCTTACTTGAAGTTTTACTTGATCTACTCGGCAAGAAACTCCGTTCCGTCGTAGCACATGTCAGCATGATAGTAATGCTTCAGAGAGATCCGTAATGCAAATGACTTCTTATTAAATATAAGAGATATCTGTTTATCACACGACTTTAAGTTCGAGATTTATCATATCCAAATATTAAGTGATAAGACTTAAACGTTTGGAGATTTACTAAAATGACGTAAATGGTGACGCGGCGGCTAACCCTCGTCTCGTATTAGCAGTGCGGCGATAAACATTTATGTGGGGTCGTGTGGCGCAGCGGCAGCGTTCTCGACTCGGAACCAGAGGCCCCGGGTTCGAGACCTAACATGCCACCGATCGTGTGCCCTTGGGAAAGGCACTTTACACGACTTTCCTCACTTCGCTCAGGTGTAAATGAGTATTGTACTGTCCCTGTGTTGGTTTCGGCATTAATATAAGTTGAAAAAAAACTTGAGTGTGTCGTCACGACGTCTTGTGATTACATGTTTCGGAATAAAAAAAACAATAAAAAAAAACATCATCACCCTAAATACTTGAGCCATGACGAAGTTACACAGCCCAAGTATAACTACTAGAAAAAGGACCATGCTGCTAAAAACAGATACGATCCGTGGAGAATACCGACGTCGTTCAAAGTACTCTGATCTTGGTATGTTTGATAGTATGTCTGATCTTGGCATTACACCAACATCAGACATAAAATAAAACAACCATGCTGCGAGAATGGTGGCTACTGTAGGATTTAATTCCAACACAGGTTTGAAAAGCGCTGTACCTCAGTCCTTTAAGTATTGGAATGTCACTGGACAATATGGAGCACTACATCGCGTAATGTCACTGCCTTTATCAAGAGTGTTAGGCGAAGTAATTTCTTGGGCCCTGAGGCCTCCAAACACATTTCGATTCAAGAGTCAAGACTGTCTGATACCCATGGTTGCCTTTGACGTACAGAAGGGAACATCTAATATTGTAGTAGTTAGTCTTATGCATCGGAAGTCGGATTTAGCGAGGCTAGCTTTTTTGATTAGATTGGTCATTGGCTGGTAAATATGGTGGCCTTAAAATTGCGACCTTGACATTCGTGCAACAACGGTTTCAGTATATCGTGTAAAAACAATA